TACATTATAATATACTCATTACATGGATTCTAGAGCCAAGCTGCCTGGAAATTCTGGGTAAACCAGAATTTGATCTCTGTGCGATCTTAGAAAATGATCTAAACTCCACGTCTCAGTTTTTTTGTATGTGAAAAGGAAATATTAATACCTGCTTCATAGATTTATATAGGAATTAACTATATTATGAATATGCCTCATAGATTTATATAGGAATTAACTATAATATGCCTAGAATAGTTGTAAGCACATAGTAGGCTCTTGATTTTGTTTTGTTTTATTTTTTGAGATTGAGTTTTGTTCTTGTTGCCTAGGCCGGGGTGCAATGGTGCAATCTTGGCTAACTGCAATCTCTGCCTCCTGGGCTCAAGTGAGTCTTGTGCCTCAGCCTCCCGAGTGGCTGGGATTATAGGTGCCCACCACCACTCCTGGCTAATTGTTTGTGTTTTTAATGGAGACAGGGTTTCACCATGTTGGCCAAGCTGTTCTCGAACTCCTGACCTCAGGAGAAGCCTTGGCCTCCCAAAGTGCTGGGATTACAGGTGTGAGCCACTGTGCCCAGCTAGGCTTTTATTATTATTGTTATTATTATCGTATAAATCAGTGACATATTTTTCTGAAATTGCTCTTTAGTTTACACTAAACTCTTAGATGTTTTTTGTTTAACTGTCTTCCAGTTTACCAGATTTCCTGGGCATAATCTGCTGCTAAAGCCCATCTATTAAGTGCTTAATTTTAGTTATTTTTCTGGTCCGGAATTTCCATTTTATTTCTTTTTAGTTTATAATTCTCCAGTGAAATTCCCAATGTAAAAAAGAAATCTATATTTGCCATCTTCTCTTCTAATGTTAACCATAGCTTATAAAGACTTTAAGTAATTCCAATATCTGCATCAATTCTGTCATTTGCTGTTTTGTCTTATTGTTTGGGTATATCTCTTGTAATGCCAAAATTTGAATAAATATCTGACAGCTACAAAAGGCTTCAGATGATATTAGTTATCTCTGTTCAGAGAGGTCTTACCCTGTCTGCCAATATGGTGATAGAAGGAGGGAAGGGAGCAGAGAGAGAGAGAATGTGAGAGAGAGAGAGAGAGAGAGAGAGAGAGAGAGTGTGTGTGTGTGTGGGTGTACGCGTGTGTGTTTGTGTGCACATGGGGTGGTATTGGTGGGTGCTCATCTTAGACACGCACAGAGATACAGTTCTGGTAAGGATCAGACTACCTCTGGTTTGCATTACTTTTAAGACACAGCCTTAATACAAAAACTAGCCAGGCATGGTGGCACACGCCTGTAGACCCAGCTACTTGGGGGGCTGAGGTAGGGGAATTGCTTGAATCAGGGTGGTAGAGGTTGTAGTGAGCCAAGATTGCACCACTGCACTCCAGCCTGGAGACAGAGTGAGACTCCTCAAAAAAAAAAAATTTTTTTTTAAATTAAAAAAAGACACAGCCTTGGCCTGGCACTGTGGCTCACACCTGTAATCCAGCACTTTGGGAGGCTGAGGCAGGAAGATCACTTGAGGTCAGGGATTCAAGACCTGCCTAGGCAGCATGGTGAAGCCTTGTCTCTCCTAAAAATACAAAAAATTAGCCAGGCGTGGTGGTGGGTACCTGTAATCCCAGCTACTTGGGAGGCTGAGGCAGGAGAATTGCTTGAACCCGGGAGAAGGAGGCTGCGGTGAGC